ACACACACACGCACACACACACACACACGCACACACACACACACACGCACACACACACGCACAGCCTTCTTGCTGCTGATGTCCAGTTAAAACACTTCCACCGAGGCGACTGCACTTCTGTGGATCTAAAAATGTTCCCACCAAACGTGAGTGAATCTGAATCTCTGGACTGTGAACGATTCAGATTCAACAGGAAACAACGTCCATGGAAACCTGCTGTCCATATGAAGGGAAGCAACATGCAGGAACGATGTGTTGTTCCTGGAGTATTTAACAGTAGAATGGGAGGCGGAGCCTCAGTTTTCAGGCCCCTCTTCTGTGGAACCAGCTTCCAGTCCAGGAGACAGACACTATCTCTACTTTCAAGATTCAAACTTAAAGTTCGGGCTGGACCAGGTGCAGATTCCAAACGCAGAGGTAGGACCTGAACCCTGCACAGGTGACCTGCTGATGTCAGCATAGGTGTTTGTGTTCCTGAGGGTGGGGCGATTTCACAGGTGACGATGGATCAAACTGTCTGACGCAGCTAGCATAGCAGCCAGTGGCTAGCTGCTTAGCAGCACACACACACAGAGTGGGGAGCAGCCCGGGGCGTTGGATTGTGGGCAGCGGTGGCGGGAGGCAGAGCTGTGGGTAGTTCTAATCTGCCCTCTGCCACCCCCGCCCTCTCCCTCCACCCCCCATTTTTTCTACCTCACCTCTCGGCAGTGCCCCCCTTCTCCTCCCCTCTGCCCCTCCACGCTCCTTCCATCCCTCTCCATATTTTCTCCCCCTGCATCTGATTAAGTTAACAATGTGGTGTTATTTGCATGCTGATTTTGCAGACCCCACCGCCCCCACCCACTCTCCCTCTCTCCCTCTCTTTCTCTCAATTCTCTGACAAACAAGAGAGGCAGGATCAGAGTAATGTGATAGCACAGCAGCCAGCCAACGCAATCTGCCTCAAAGACCAGGTGTTCGCAATCCACCTCCCTCTTAATTCCTGCCTCCATCATTTCTCTTGTTTTTATTCCTGTTATTCTTCGCTTTCATTCCCTCCCCTAGTTCCTCGTCTTCGTCTCCTCTCATCTATCCCTGGTGTGTTTATAAGGTTGTATTATAATCAAATCTGGAGCAAGGGAGGCCTGTCTTTTTTTATTAATTATAGGCCACAGCTGATGTGAATGTATTCCGAAAGCATCTTCAAAATAGGTCGGCGGTACAGTTTGCTATTCTTATCACATTTAAATGTCAACATGGTGCAAAGCCCTACAAATTAGTTCAGGCAGGCTTCAACCCCCATTTAACATTTAAAGCGCCATTCTGTAGGGCTCAAAGAGCGATTTAAATCAGTTTACGCACACACACACATGTGCACAGATAGTCTTTCAAACTTCTCATTTCAACACAGACATTTAACTGCCAACCTTTGCCTGCGAGAATTCAGCTCTCCCTCTCGACGGGGTGGGGGTGGCAGGGTGACGGCACAAAAAAGACATATAAAGCAACAGAAACAATGCATTAGCTTTTATGAATAATAAATTCGCCCGTTGTTCCGTGCAGAAAAGATCTCGCTTTTCAGCATCTCCGCGTAAATCCGCCGTCCGGATGAATAAATCAGAGCACGCAGACGTTTTCTTGAGTTGTAGCTCGTCGCTGCTAAATAACAACAATGATGTGAAATGCACGCGTGTGTTTGCAGAGCCAGCGTTAACCCCTACAGAGCTGCGCGACACAATAGAAGGCCGGCTCTGTTGTTCTACGCGCCGCTGGCCGGGCATACCAAACGCGCTTCACCTGTCGCC